CCCAGGGTTAATAGGCCCAGCCGATTACTAAGCCCCATTTGGTCTGGGCCCGAGGTGGTCTTAATAAAAGGCGACTACTGTAGAGATTAGGAAAATATACAGATAAAAATCCACAACACTACTAAATACAGTAGAATAAAGATGCATTTAGCATTTATTAAAGTATATTCCACTGCGTGTCCTAATTCTTCACCCATAAAACCGTCTTCGTAGGAAAACATGCAGGGAGTAGGGATTAATGGGTGGGCCTTCAAAAGCTACTGTTGCCTGAATCTCAATACCAAACCTGGGTTGGGACGGGGAATTCAGTGTTTATCTATTGAGGCAAAGTTTTAGGCCCCAATTTTATGCAAACCTTCGAAATAAATGGTATCCAATCCACCGAAATAGCTATGTCATGTCCACGCCTGATATTCCTCCTGATACGAACAACCGTAAGTTAAAAATTGAACCGACAGTAACAGTTTGAGACGAAGTCTAGCAATTGCAATTGGTCATTAAGTCAAACTGAACCCGGAATTCTGCAGGCATAAAACAGCTGTTTATATTCGTATCAGTATCAAATAGGTAAAGACGCAGCAGACCTGCAGAATATTCCATTATTACCCAAGGTCACGATGAAGAGGCAAAAAGGGTATGGCAATCACCTGAATCACATGTATAAAGTTACACTTTGTTATGAACTCGCCGCCATTTTCTTTTCAGAGCAGATTCGTTTCTATCCATTTTTGTATGAAAACGCCTGGTTGATTTGATGACTCGATTCCGCGTTTGGTTAAATCGTCGACAGAAAGATAGGACGAAAAGTCAGGAAAGTGGAAAAAGGCGTCATGGTCTATCATATTTTGAAAGCACTACAATAATCCCCTGCCTGCGCAATGAAGTTCGAACGCAGGAAAACGCAAAGTGCAGTTGATAGTATATCTGATGACATGTGAAGATCAAAATTTGGGATTGGGGGGATCGAACAGCAATTTGATGTTGTTCATTGAATTGACTTCAGGCGCAAACTGTTGTCTTCTAGAAAAGAGTTCACTTCAGATCAGTAAACAGGGGCAAATAGGGGCGGAATGGGGCCAAATGCAATGTTTTTTGAAATCTAAGGAATTTCCTACGCTATTAAACTCTGCAGATTAAAACTTCTGCTTTGTGCGTGTTAGAATATACAGGGTGTCCCAAAAGTAACTGACCCTTTTGATTTGCCAATAAAACGAAGACTATAAACGCTAGGATACTGAAACTTGTTTTATTCGAAAGAATAAATTCTAGAATTTTGTGCAATGAAAATCCAAGAGAAATTCAAGAAAGGCCGCTGCATTCTCTTCGTGTGACTATTTGGTGCGGAATAACTTCTTCCAATGTGATTGGCCCATACTTTTTTTGAAAATAATGATGGCGCAACAGGCCATACATTTTTGAAAATAATGATGGTGCAACAGTAACAGTTAATGGTGAAAGATACCGAACTATGATTAGCGAATTTCTAATTCCTGAAATTGAGAGACATGGCCTCGCAATAATTGGTTTCAACAGGATGGTGCCACGGACCATACAGCAAGAGAAACGATGACATTGATAAATGAGTGCTTTCCAAATCAT